CAGAAGGAAGACAGCTAATTCAGACAAAGCAAACTTAAAAACAGGCTTAAAGGAAGTGAATTCAACTAGTGCTACTAACACCAGACACATCTGATTTCAAAACCAAGTAAGTGACCCTCCATCAAACCAGGCCTATAGCTTAGTCCTGGTTCTTAGGTTCAGAAGGCAATGTAGTTAAGTCAACTGTGACAGAAACCCACATGAAGGACAGTTTTAAGTAAAATTCTGTCTGTTTAGTCTTCTGATATTTATTTTTTCTCAGACTTTGGCTATTTTTCAAAGTACCAGTGAACATTCAATAGGTTAATAAATAGAGGTAATTGGACTTAAAGGTTATCCCCTCCCCCACCTCATGAGGTTGCTTTCAGTGCTCTGACTAAAAAGGCTGTCCATCAAAATAATTACATAAAATCCAATATAAATACACAATTGCACATATCATTGTAGTTATTTATTTAGATGTTTTAAAATGAGATAGTGCCTTTAAATACGTTTCAGAGCCCATCATCCATTACCATTCATTCATCTGTTCATTTGTTCATTCATGTATTCATTTAGTTCAAATAATGTAGAGGTGGGGATAGAGATAAATCAATGGGGTAGAGGTGGATATTGGGAGGTTAAAAAAAAAAAGGTAAGATTGCAGCTCTAGTACAGAAGAGATGATGAAAGTAAACATCAATCTTGGGAGAGGATAGCAAGAAAGTTTTCTCTACATGCCTGTAAAATGCGTTTCATTGAAGGCAGGCTGGGCACTAACAGTTCAATCTATCACTATAGTAAACATACACCTACAGGTAGAGAGTTATATGTGCTCCTTTATCATTAATAAAGCAATTTATAATCCTTTTCCACGTACAAAGCATTCTAATATCCATTACCAAATTTAATCCTAACAGCAACAGTGTGAGTTAGTAGTGTTCCCATTTTACAGATGAAAATGCTGAGGCCTAAAGGAGAATGACTGGCTCAATATCACACAACCAGTAAGAAGGCAACAGAGGAAAAAAGACTCAAACCCAGATCTTCCTCTGAAACTGGAGCTTTGTGCACAATCCTACTATATCACTGAATTTTAGAATTGGAAGGGAGCTTAAAAATCAAGTCTACTCCTTAAATTGTATTGGTGCTGGAAATGGGCCCTGATTTGCCCCAGCTGGTACATAACAGAGTGGAGATCAGAACCCTGGTTTCTCAGCAGCTCCCAATCTTTCCACTTTACAACCCTGCCTCAAAATTAAAGAAACACAAACATTGTACATAAGAATCAGGGCACGACAAAAGGTCACTGGAAATCAAACAGCAAACACCTATTCCCTTTGAAACTCACCAGGAAAGTTGGTGGCAGCATTTCCTCTATTCTTAGAAATCTTAAGGCTTTGGAGAGATGAAAATAAGCACCTCCACAAAAACAGAACTGCTGAATAATCCATTTATAACTGTTGGCCATTGTGTGTGTATTATATGCTTATTAAGTCAAACTTATAAATGACTTTTCTTTACAGACAAACAAGTACTTATATACCTAACTACTACATTTAATCACTAAGACATAATATTGGTGTGGTTCTTACCTGAAGTATATTTATAGTCGGGTTATATGGTTACATAAATAATCACACTTTGCAGCTTGCTTTAAAAGGAATGAGATAAAAAAAAAAATACTTAGACTGAGAATCCATTCACCCATCCACCCAATCAAATGAGAACCAACAAAGTAGCAGTTACTGCTGCAGACATTCATTCATTCACGACACTATTGAATAAATCTAAGAGGATTGGTGATACTCACTCTCAAAGTGCTCAGTTCTATCCACATGTAGTTAAAGTACTCGTGCTATCACCAAACAAACTTAGCAATTTCAGGAAAAGACACCTGTCTCCACAAACCTGTTAGGTAGGAAATCAAGTCAAATCCAATCATTACACAGTACACAGAATCGATTCATTCTGAAGAGGGATAACTTACACTGCAAAGGCTGTTCTGTCTTGGAGGGAGAGCTGTAGGGGGGAGTTACAAGCAGATGCTTAATAACATTTCCTGAGTAACTAAATGAACTAAATGGATTTTCCTGGCCTTTAGTGATAATCCTATGAGACTCCAGGAAGAAAATTAGCTCACTTATCTTCATGGAGCAACAACAAAATGATTCAATATGAATACTGTGATTCTGAACTTAGCTTCCTTCATTCTCGGCTTTTGCCGGTTGTAGAACTCCAACAGTGGACACTGAGGTAGAAGGGGGACAAGAGGGTCTGTGAAGCTCCTTGTTAATTACGCAGCAGGATTTCAAACTGTCCAAGCTTAACTCTGTCACTTTAGGAACCCACGGGGGGAAAAAAAGTCTTGTAAGCATTTACGCTTACAAAAGAAGAGTTTTTGAGATTTAGAAAGAATGACTACAGGAAGTGGGGATCCACGATGTGCAGGTAGGGGGCAAGTTCCTTCCCTCAGCCTTGGAGGAGAAACAGCCCCAAACACTCTGACGCCGAGGCAGGCAAAAGTGCGCTGCCCCTGGGTGCTCGGCCTTCTCAGCCCAGGAACCCAGTACCACACAAGTAAATACAGTTGCCACAAAGCAACAATCCAGAAGCGACCGCATTGAATACACTATAAAAGATGTGACTTTGTTCTGTAAAAGTAATCTCATGCAAAATGTGGCTAGTCTTCCAGTTTATAGTGACCCCAGATTCTCGAGGATCTCACGCCTGGGACCTGAAGATACACCGGCTCTTTTTTTTTTTTTCGATTTACCATACCATCATAAATTAGAACTAACTTCAATGCTGATCTGCTTACATATAATTTCTACCTGAGCTCCTACAGCCACTCCACTTCCTTGGTATAAACCCTAGGACCATCAGCAATCTCAAAAATACCAAAAGCAGGATCTGTTTGGAGCCCTGTACTGGTACTACTGGGTGTACTGATATCCTCTCATGGAGAACCTGCTTTCCTTCCTCTGATCAGCACTATTGTAACACCCACCCTCTAACGGACAACCAACTGCTTTGTTAAGTCTTCCTTCAAAAACCAAAATCCCTGCATTTCCTCACATAAAAGGATCAGAGAAAACAACTGCTTGCAGTAAACTGTGGCCTTTCCCCTGGTTGCTCAGGAATAGCTTGCTGGCCTTCCTGGTTCTCTCTGAAATGGCATCCAAGTTTCTTTTAGCTTCTAGCCCAAAATTCTTTATGTGCTAATATTACTGGACTACTCTTTACATCTTTCTTACTGAACCTTTATCATTTGAAAGAAACCAGGGGTTTCTTTGCCCTTGGGTCTAAACTTTAATGACTTCTAACCACATAATGCAAGTAAAAAACAACATTGTTTCTTTGCCCTTGGGTCTAAACTTTAATGACTTCTAACCACATAATGCAAGTAAAAAACAACATTAGAGCACAGTTTGTAGCATGTATTTGAAGAAATCATCTCCCCAGTATAACCATTCACTCTTAAGGAGCCTGGTATCAGTAGACAGCCTCAGGAGCAACGAACTTACACCCTTCCGTACCCAATGTTCCTCTTGCTGCTTTCAACCCTGTCTCCCCACCCCACCCCTCATCAGCTTTAATAAAGGGATTCCTTCCATTATTTACCCCTTGCTGTTCTGGCAGTTGGAGATCACTCCAACAACTTCATGGCTCTGCTTCTAATATAATGTCCTTGTCTAAAACACACACACAAGGGCTGGCCCGTGGCTCACTTGGGAGTGTGGTGCTGATAATACCAAGGCCACGGGTTCAGATCCCTATATAGGGATGGCCGGTTGGCTCACCTGGGAGAGCGTGGTGCTGACAACACCAAGCCAAGAGTTAAGATCCCCTTACCGGTCATCTTTTTAAAAAATAAAAAATATTGGCCGGCCCGTGGCTCACTCGGGAGAGTGCGGTGCTGATAACACTAAGGCCCCGGGTTCGGATCCCATATAGGGATGGCCGGTTTGCTCACTGGCTGAACGTGGTGCTGACAACACCAAGTCAAGGGTTAAGATCCCCTTACTGGTCATCTTTAAAAAAAAATAAATAAATAAAATAAAAAATAAATAAAATAAAATACACATGCACACACACTTTATATTTTAACAGAACAGATCCGTCTGTGACACCCAAATTTTTCTTACAGTCACAGGCATGACAGGAATTCTGGTCACTGAAGTTCCTTGAAAACTACTGCTCAAAAACTAGGGATAGGGCTGGCTGGTCAGCTCACTTGGTAGAGCGTGGTGCTGATAACACCAAGGTCAAGGCCAGACACCAAAAAAAACAAACCCAGGGATTTTCTATGTCTTCCTTATCTAAGAGATTAGTGAGCTTGGGCTATTTTATCTGAAAACACATAAATTTAATTCCAGAATGTTAATTCAATCAATACATCTGTGTTTTATATCAGAGTGAATTTTTCAGTAAAAATCCAAGACATTTCTTTTCTTCTATATTACACTAAACTATATGTAAATATGAGGGTACTTCAAAAAGTTCATGGAAAGACTTGAATTATCTTTCAATTCTATTTTTTCCACAAACTTTCTGAAGTGCCCTCGTATGTTTTTAATTTCCTCCTTAACTTTCAAGGCTTAAAAATCAAAGAATTTCCTTTCTCTAGATCCTGTAAGTCATAACTGCTATCATCCAGGCTCAGGATTTTGTATAAAAGAACCAGCTTTTAAAAATGAAATAAAATCTAGGACAAAAGGGCTCTGGAGCCCCGGCTAGGCCAGGAAGGGAGGAAGCAAAAAACAGGGATGAAGAAAAAGGTAGTAAGACTGTCTAAGAAGATGGCCAATCTAACACGAAATACCTGGGAAGAGGAGGAGTGGGGGGTTGGGGGGGGACAAGAGGTAAAGTCATGGCTTGGTCTCTTTTACTCTTGGGTGGCTGTCAGCATGGGTATCTGAAAGAACTACCCAGATTGCAGAAGAGAGAGGTTCCAGCCTCCTTGGAAGGACATGGCTGCTGTAATCATGATGGAGTAGGAAAGGAGACACAGGCAGTCAACTGTTTAAAAGCTGAGTGTTACCTATAAAACTCAAGGTAACAAAAAGCTTCTTTGATTTGTAAACTTGCACTCATAAATACAATCTGTCAAAATAGAATTCAGTACATTTTTTTCAACAAGTCTCTTCAACAGGGATACAATATTCTTCCCTTTGGAATCAGCGCTTTTAAATAAAAAATTTACTACACAGCCATTTTCCAAAGCAACATTATAGTTGAGAACAGCTACTTGGAGGAGAGTGGATAATACTGCTGCTGGAGGGTGCACACAC